AATATAAACAAACTCTAATAATACAAACACAAACTTAGCTTGAGTCTTTTATAAATGCTTAATGTTAACTGACTGATTTTTTTATTTTGATGAACCTTAAAAACAAGAAGAGTAACATATGATTTCTGTTGAGAAAATGAACACAGTTATCTTATTAAACAAAAAAACTCATTAACTTGAGAAGATATGTTTTGTTAACATATATAAATTTATCATTATCTTACAATGAAGAAGTCACAAAATAAATTTGTTTAAATTATGTTTCTCAGTTTCTGTAACTCTCCATAGTTGATAGGTACATTATATACAGTAAGTTTGTTTTTAATTTTTTTGCATTTTGTGGTTTAAAACATATTTTACTATCATCTCTTTTATAACTAACTACTGTATATAAAATTGGTTTTAATGTGTGAACTAGTCTTGTTATATGGAAATAGAATCAGCTAATTTATTTAGCTTTGAAACACAAAACGGAGACGTAAGTGAAGTTCTTTCAAAGCTGAAGACTGTGGAGCACCCTACACCTGCAAGTACTGCAACCCTGCACAGTTTGAAGTGGGGAGTGTTTGGTTACATTTGGAAAGTGGGGGTCATTGGGAGGAGTGTTGGGGTTCTTACCGCTTCCTCCAAAGGTGGGACTGTTGGCGAGACGTGCAGCCTCAGTGTCCTCAAACGCCTCCCGGTAACTGTGCATAAGACCCTATAAAAAATAAATACATTTAATATTTAGCCCCAAAATGCAACATTTGTTTTGACTAAATTCATCCAACTGAGCAGTGGCTTAGTTGATAGAGCTGATGTTCCTCAGCAAGAAAGTTGCCGGATTGAATCCCAGCTCAGACATCTTTCTGAGTAGAGTTTGCATGTTCTCTCCGTGCATGTGTGGGTTTTCTCTGGGTACTCCGGCTTCCTCCCACAGACCAAAAACATGACTGGTAGGTTAACTGGTAACTCTAAATTGTCCTTAGGTGTGAGTGAGAGAGTGAATGGTTGTTTGTCTCTATGTGATGGACTTGTGACCTGTCCAGGGTGTACCCTGTCCCTCACACTGACAGCTAGAAATGGACCCCTGTGACCCTGAAAGGAAGAGGTGGGTATAGATAATAGATGGATGGATGGCTAATAAAAAAATGATAGCTAAATGGGACGTTTGGAACAATTATTCCACAAAATGATTCAATCTTGTTGTGTGGTCTGCTGTAGAAACTACGGTGCTAAGCTGAACAGGCAAGAGTCTGAATTTACCATGAATTACTTCAAAACTAACATAACACGTGAGGCTCTTTTAATCCCTCATTATTATGCAAGAGTTGGTTTGGTCAAAATATTGTAGCTCCAAACAGGTCATATTTACATGGGAAAGGTTCATTCAATCATATGCCACTGCACCC